ATAAAAAAAAATTATGGTAAAAAAAACTAAACAAGTAATTTAAAAAAACATTATAATATTTTAATAGGTTTTTTGAAAACATGAACTTTTAAACCATTTAATTTATTAAGATTAATAGCATCGTTCATATTAGTCTATTTTAATCAAGTAAGTATTAAAATGTATTCCTTGTTTTAGGCTCATCTTTTTTTTATAAAACCATTTTTTATAAAATTAAAATAAAACATTTAAGATTTTGATACTAACTTGACTCTGACAACTTATTGAAATAGTTTTTAAAATTTTTTTTTTTTTTTGTAGGTAAAGAACATATTTTTAAGATAAGTGAATAAATAATTTTTATTATATTTTTAAAAAAATATATTTATTTAAATGAATAAAAATATGATATTATTTTCATATATTATAAATGTATTATTAAATATTGTATTTTAGGTATAATAATGTATGTATAACCGTATATTGTATACTATCGGTTATATTTCTTTTAAACATGTAATACTAAATTTAAATTTACCTCACTTGGGTTTAAAACATCGCTTTCTTCTATATAGAATTCAGGAGTAAAACCAATTGGATATGGAACGTCATTGTCTACATGACTAATTGCCCAAGTAAATGTTGCCATACCTATACCATCCTTGACTAAAAACAACCATAATACATTATAATCCAATTGATTATATTTATATAACAACATTTTTAAAATTCAGACCACCGGATGCTGGGAAAAACCATATTGTATTTAAGTAGTTTAAGCAAATAAAACTTCGGTGTTGTTTTTTTATGGTTATGAGCGACTAATAATTGTTCTATACAATATCATGATTTTTTTTACAAAGAGACCCAAAGTAAAACAAAAAACAAAACTTAACTAATTTACTAATTTTTAAATCTAACTGTAACTGCATACTTATAAATTAAGATGTACAACTATAAAATTAACTACGAATATAGTAGATAAAATCATAGCCCCACTATTTCAAAAACAATTTTTCACTTTACACTGTGATATTTAAATACGATTTAAAATTTTTTACATTAAATTGTACGATAGCTTTACATTTTAGAGATAACAAAGACCTATTTTTTATATTTAACACACCGCCTGTCTTGGATGCCCATTTTCTTGCAGGTTTTTTTTTATCGTTATGATCGACTAATAATTGTTCTATACACTAACATGATTTTTTTTACAAAGAAACCCAAAGTAAAACTAAACTAGCTGTCTACTTTTTAATCTAACTGTAACTGCATGCTTATAAATGAAGAGTGAAAGTGTTAAACGTTTCAAGTGCCAAAGTACAAAAATTGAACTTTATAATTTGATTTATATTTTATTCATTACCGGAAACACTTTAACATGTTTTTGAGTTTTAAATATGATTGTTTTTTTTATAAATAACTATTTTTTACTTGAAAAATTTACAAAATTGTTTCCGGTAATGAATAAAATACAAATCAAATTATAAAGTACAAATTTTATACTTTGGCACTTGGAACGTTTGACACTTTCACTCTTCAAATAAGGATGTACAACTATAAAATTAACTGCGAATGTAATACATAAAATTATAGCCCACTATTTTTCACTTTACACTAAAATATTTAAATACGATTTAAAATTGTTTACATTAAATTGTACGTTAGTTTTACATTTTAGAGATAACAAATACCTATTTTCTGTATAAACACATCGCCTGCTTCGGTCTGCACATATGCTTTTTGTAAATTAAGTCTTTCTCATGCCACATACATGCGTGATATCATATGAAATGCAAGTAACACCCAAATTCAAAACAAAAACCTGTTATAAAGCCCTTATATAAAATATTAAATAAAATACGCACAATCTTCACTAAGTTCATTGACCAATTTATTGTAATAGTCGAACATAGGATAGTTTTGTTGTACATAATAAACATACGAATCATAGGACAGTACACCATATTTACTTTTACTCTTAAAATATTCTTCCAACTTCTGGAATATATAAAATAATTGTATAAAAACAAAAAACAAAATTCTAAGAAATTAAAACTTTTGATATTAATTTGAGTTTGACGACGTATAAAGATAGTTTTTATAATGAAAAAAAAAATATATAAATATGTTTCATATATTAAAATATGTATTATTAAATATTGTATTATAGGTATATTAATGTATGTAATTGTATTTTGTATACTATCGGTTTTATTTCTTATAAAAATATATTACAAAATTAAAATTTACCTCACTTGGGCTTAGAAGAGCATCACCGTTTAGAATACAGAAAAATACAACCAATAAAATAATCTTGAAATACATGTTGAAAACGCCGAAGTTTTAAAAGAATTCAAAATATAAAGTTAGCCGTAAAAGATACCAAATGATATTCAGTCTTAGAATTAGTCGGTTTTATAGTGATTTTTGTTAGTATAAGCTCCACACAGCAACATAAAATATTTGTTAAAGCAACGATATTGTGGCCATATGTTTATTATTACTTATAATTTTAATATTACTTAACCATGTGTGTAGTATTACTTTTATCTGAATAATGTGTTTTCTAGATTAATGTTTCATTTTGATTTTTAAAATAAAAATTGGGACCTTAATAATTGTATTGGTTTTTTTTTAATTCTAATTTATTATTTTGCCATAGTCAAAGAGTTTATTTAAAAGAAACTCAAAATTTTAATTTTTCTCAAATGGTACTATAATAGGCATTTTTAGTATGTCAGTCAAGAAAAATAATAACTATATTAAACATAATCAATGTGTTCAATATTATTTTTATGGCTTCAATATGACGCATTTTTTTATGAAAAAAACATGTTATTGTGTTTCTGCACTAATCGCAAATATCGAGCAAAAATGTGTTTACAATGCAAACACTTTGTTTGTCTAAAAAATTGAACTATATTGTAATGTGTCATACCCATAAGTAGGGTACACGTGACTATATTCTTACAGATTCAAAATAATCGAATTAAACTTTGTTGTAATTAGTTGTATAGTTTCTGTAAAGAAGCTTGACGAAATATGGAGCTAGGTTCTTGTGGTACATAAGTATAGGAAAAAACACATTATTCAAATAAAAGTTATTCGAATATTATTTTATTTAGATAACAATTTTTCGAATAAAAAGATATTAGACAATTTTTTAAACATATTATTAAATAGTTTGTAAGTCCATATTAAAATAATTATAATTCAAAACAATATTTCGTATTACAAATTAAGTAAAACCTGTACCGGGTGTTGGTTAACTATGGACCAGTCAATAACTTAGAAGATATTAGACTTTTTTTAATTATTTTTTTTTATAATTTTGTAATTATTAGTTGGGACAAATTTAATAAAATTTTTAAGTTCATACGGTTTTAACATAATATAAGGGATGGGGTTATATTTTTCGAAAACATATCAAATTTGTCCCAACTTATAACTATAAAATTATAAAAAAAAAATAATTAAAAAAAGTCTTATATCTTTTAAGTTATTGAATGGTCCATAGTTAACCAATATATACAGTACATTGGTATATACTGGGTAATATTTTTAACGCCATTTTTAGCTCTAGTATAATATGAACTTTCTTAGAATTGGGTGGTCTGAATTATAACGATGTTAGATAATAATTTTTTTGGCGACATGTATAAGTGAATTAATTATTTTTTTCAAACCATGTGTTTATTTTGGGTTAGCAACGAAAAATATTTCAAGTGGTATCAAGGCGTACGCGGAACGAGACATAAAAATGTATCTCGTGGTGTTGCGGACTCGTACGCAAGCTGTTAAAATTTAATATGTAATACCTATGTGAAAACATTTAATAGAGCCTTGCAAACGTTAAGATAATAATTTTTTTAAATAGGTATTACAACAGGCGTTCTTAGTGAGACAACCAATATGTAGAATGCAAAAAAAAAGGTTAGAATAACAAAATGTTAATAAAAAAAATATATGTAAATTAAAGATTAAAGTAAACTTTTTCAACTTTTGAATGCCCCCCCCCTTAAAGTACCAACTAGATAAAATTTGTGATTTACATAGTTGCTGCTCGAAGGAATTGGTTCAGTATTAAAATAGTTATAGTGTATGCAGATAAAAAAAAGCCCACATCATGGTAAAACCAACACCTTCTCTGCTTTGCATCGATGCTAAAACTACGATATAAAATGTTTGTATAGTTCGTACGTCATTTGGAGGTGTTGTACTGAACTGTTATCATAGCAATACAAAAAAAAAAGTTAAAATAACATTTCGTTATTCTAAAAAATATGAAAACTATAGATATATTGTTATGTGTCATACCCGTAGGTAGGTTATACGTGATTAATATTAAAAATTATAAATAATCGACCGCAATTTTGTTGTTAAGGTTCTCTAAAAGTCATCTGCAATTAAAAATTTAACGTTTACCGAATTAAATCCAACCCAAAAGTGTTTTTATGACGTTAGGTTTGGTTAAATTTGGCGACACACAAGTTGATAATTTTATCATGTACCATTCAACAGTTTATTTTAGATACAAACAAAATTATAATTTTCCAATCACATGCGTGTCACATTGGAAAATCTCAGTGAGACAACCACTAAATATTAGAAGTAATAATGTAAAACATATATAAAATCGAGACTATTCCGATTGTTCTCAACGATTAGTTTTATTGGGTGTTCAAAGCGATGCGTATTTTTTTATAAAGAAATACGCGTTGTTGTGATTTTGATTTTATAGTACAAATATGAAGCAAATTGAAAATATTGTTAAATGTATAGTGTTATTATATTGCATATAATAGTGCTACGCCTCTATAGTCGGTTAACATAAATTAAAACGCTCATTTTCCAAACGCTTATTGATACCAAAAAGTCAATCTGTCTGAATGACAGTAGATTTAAAAAATGTATTAGCTGAGACAGGTAATGAGTACTCGACAAGTCTTTTTCAAAATAAGACACTATATTTGATAATTACTATTGAACTCTTTATTTAAACCAATTATTCAACAATGTTTCTGTTACAAACTAATAGAGAACTAGAATTTTAATGTTAAAACACACGGTACGGTACAACATAAATCTGCAAGATTAAATAATTCAACAAAATCATTTAAACAATATTTAATAATCTATTATTTTTGATTTTTATCAAAATAATGCCCATCAAAATTTTTATCCATCGCTTTGGACTTCTCGATAAGTTCTGCAAGATGTCTTGAACCAGAAGTGATATTAGGAGTGTAACCTTGTGGATATTTAACTTCACTGTCTACTGTACTAATTGCCCAAATAAATTCTTCCTTACTGATACCATGCTTGTCTAGAAACAACCATAATACATTATAATCCTATTTATTATATATTTTATAAAACAACATTTTTATAAATCAGCCACCAGATGCTAGGAAAAATCATATTGTAATAAAGTATTTTTAAATAATTGATTTAATTTAAGGTACATACAAGTGAAACGTTGGTGTTGTTTTTTCTATGGTGACGATCGACTAATAGTTGTTTAATACGCTGACATGATTTTTGACAAAGGAACTCAAAGTAAAACAAAACGTTTTACTAACTAACTGATTTTTAGTCTAACTATAACTACATACTTATGAATTAATAAATAAATGAACTATACAATTGACTAAAAATATAGTCGATAAAATTATAGCCCCACTATTTATTTCATAAACTATTTTTCTCTTTATAATTAGATATTTAAATACAATATTAGATTTTTTACATTAAATATTACGTTAGGTTTACATTTTAATGTTAACAAAGATCTATTTTCTATATTCAACACATTTAAAATGTAAGTAACACCCAAATTAAAAACAAAATCCTATAATAAAGCCCTTATGTAAAAATGTAAATAAAATACGCACAGCGTTCACCAATTTCATTGACCAATTTATTGTAATGTTCTGGTAAATTATAGTTTTGTCGTACATACGATACGTACGCATCATAGGGCAGTACATTTTTTTTATTTTCTCTATTAAAATATCCTTCCAACGTCTGGAATACATAAAATAATTGTATATCATAATAAATTGCATTGTATACATAAATATAATATGTAGTATCTTCGGCCTCATAATAATTTTATTATGTAAAATAATCTCGTCTTTCAAGAGCAAAAAGTCATTAAACTTGAGTTTGTATTCTAAAATATTGATTTATACTAGGTATATTAATATATGTAATCATGTATTGTATACCATCGGTTATGTTTCTTAAAAAAATGTATTAAAAAATATAAATTTACCTGTAATGGGCCTACGGAATCACCGTATTGAATACAGAAAAAAAAGACAACCAATAAAATACACTTGCAATACATGCTGAAAACGCCGAAGCTGTACAAGAATTCAAAATGTGAATTTAACCGTAAGAGATACTAAATGATACTCCGTCTCGGCATTAGTCGGTTTTAAAATGATTTTTGTTAGTTTAAGCTTTACATGGCAAAAAAAATATCTGTTAAAGCAGCCATATTGTGGACTTTGTAAACATAAATTTTTATGTCATTATCTTAGTCTTACACTCCGTACCAATACGCTGCGTATGTTTGCTTTGTGTACTTAAATTCAAATTTTCGATTCGGAAAATAATATTTTACTATAATTTTTGTTTTATTTTAAGCATGCAGTGCTATATATGTTAGCAAAAAAACAAAATATGTTTTAATGATTCATATTATTTATTATTTAAAAAAGAAACACTACAATATAAAATGTTTGTATAGTAAGTTATTCTGAATTATTATCGTAGCCAAAAATCCAATACTGTGTATTTAATCAGTGGTCCTATAATACCGTCAAAAATATGATATTAAGGTCGCGGTTACTGGAAGCCGAACTCTTTGCCCATTTTGAAGGGGAATGGATGTAATTTATTTGTCTTTTGGCATTTCAAAATATATTTAGTGTACGATTTTGGATCTTTAAGATATAGTCACATAAAAAAATTTAACACCTGGTAAAAGTCAATATGAACCTACACACAAAACAAAATATCTCTTAAAACCTAAACATTTTTAAGCCATTGTATTTTTGTTATAAATTTTAAGCTATTATTCTAAAAGATTGTTTTTTACTAACGTACTCAAACATTTTGTAAAACGTGTATGTTAAGCAAAATGATGAGAAGTCCTAAGTTGAAAAAAACTAAAAATATGTCATCACTCTGTAATAAAATGGGCATTGGTAAAATTAAAAGTTAAGTCTATTCCTAGAGAAGGTAGGCGTAAGCATATCTATGCTTACGCCTACCTTAGTAAAATGGTATAGATATACCATTTTACTAATCCCGCTTTACTTTACAGGAAGTTGACATTCTGTTTGTTTTTTTAACCACAATTTTAGGACTTGCCACCATTTTGCCTAGCATTGAAGGTATAAAAAATGTTTATGTATATTGAGAAAATCAAATCTTTTACAACTACAGCCTAAATTTTTTTTTTTATAAATACAATATTTCTTAGCCTCGATGCGTTCTTAAATATTTATTCGGCAAAAAAGTTCACCCATTTCCCTTCGAAATCGAGAAAAGCAATCAAAAAATTATGAGTATTTGATGAGTCAACGAAAATTCTATGAATATAATATAATAACCAGTTTAAACAGGTAAGATGCCGGCCTTTTAATTCAAGGCGGTCGGTCTAGTCATCCGAGATTACTAATGATTTTGGCTAACCGGTGATATGCTCATTCAGAATATTTGATTACAATGTTTCAATTACAAACTGTTTACCCTTGGCTTACAAGATTGGCACGCATCGTTTTTAATTTATATACTCTATATTATTTTTGATACACAACAATATTATCATAACAAACAGACTCAATATGAAACACTTTAATAGAAGCCAACATTCGAATATGACCTTGAGATAATAAATACCTCACTCTGCACAATAAATATTAAAATACAAAATGACGAGGATACTTATTTGAAAGTCGAAATACAGCGAGTGTTACAGAAATGATCGCTGCAAGTGCCTACCCTTTCTTAAAATAGCCTCAACCCTAAATTTCATTAATCCCACTTTTTTCGACTGGAAGTTGACGTTTCATTTGTTTTTTTTAACCACAATTTTAGGGTTAAGAAACATTTTACCTAACATGGATGGTATAAAAAAATGTTTGTGAAAAACAATTTTTTAGTAGAATTATAGCTTAAACATTATATCGAAAATACAATGGCTTTAAAATGTTTAAGTTTTGATTAATATTTTGTTTGCGTGGATTCATAATGACTTTCACCACATGCCAATTTTTTTTCATGTGACTATATTTTGTACAGATCCAAAAAATACTTACATTTACATTCAAAAAGGCAAGGATTTCGACTTGAAAAATACGAAACTTTACTATTTTTTTGTTATAAGCTATAGTTTTGCTTCGATTAAAGAATTTAAAGAAAAAACTTACCATATAGGTCCGTTCGATACAAGTACGCGGGGGAATAAGTACTCGTTTGTTCTGGTGGACAGCTTGACGAAATACACTACACTGTTTCCATGCTAGGTTAAACAAAAGCAAGACTTAAGAGGAGCATGGCGTGAGTTTTGACTAAAACATCCGAGGAGGGAGATACTGCAGATAAAGCTACGGTAGATATGAGAATAGCAGGAGAAGACATGGAAAAGGAGCGGTCGCCGGAGTCAGGTACAAAGGTATTGCAACAAAGTGCGGCCGAGTCGCCTATCAACGCCATAAAGCCTTAGAGGGCCCGTAGACCCCAGATATGCAACGAGGGTTATTATGTAACGCTGCCTAAGCGAAAATAAAGGAACTTAAGGTATTTACGAACCGCTGTAATCGATAGCAGAACGTGCTTATTTATTCTTACTTTTTTTAGTGTTATTATTATTATCAAGTCGGGGTTATGATGGTATGTGTCAGAGGTTATGCACTTTGTTGTTTTTATTTGAACTAATATTGTAATTATGTTTCTGTTTGTTTGTTTGTATGTGGTCAAAACTGCATACGTGAACCCGCATTAATACTAGAACTGTTAGATGGCCGAATGATATCAACAATGTTCCGACGGTTATCAGACAACATTGTAGAAGAGCAGTGAGTCGATTGTTGTAGCCAAGCTTTGTGCGCCCATCAAATATATTACCAAACAAAATCATGTTTCCAACTAAAAATTAATTTTAATTTTATAAAAAAAAAAAATATGAAGACAATTGATTTATTATGTTAGGTAACAAATACTGGACAATACCTTTTCAAAATAAGACGCTGCGTTTTATTATTATTATTGAACTCTTTATTTAAACAGATTATTTAACAATGTGTTTCTTTTACAAACTAAAAGAGAAATATAATTTTAATGTTAAATCACACGGTTCGGTACAAAGAAATTCAACCGGAATAAATAAAAACGAAATCATTAAAACAATATCTATTAATCTAATATTTTCTGTGTTATATAATAATAATAACATACATGGTTATATATTAATTAATAATATCAGCATATCATTCTTAAAGTCCCCTTTATCCATCTTATCCACCTCGTCCATCTTGTTGAGGACTTGTCGAGAATTTTTGTATGTTGACTAGGAGGGTCGGAAATGTCAATAGTATGCATTGCTTCTGCATGTTGACTAGGAGGGTCGTAAATGTCAATATTATGAATTGCATGCATAAAATCTTCATTTAACATACCCATCACGTCTATAAACAACCAAAATACATTATAATCCCATTGATTATATTTTATGAAACAAAATGTTTATAATTTAGACCACCAGATTCTAGGAAAACCCATAATAGTACGTTGGGTTTACATTTTAAAGATAACAAAGACCTATTTTCTAAATCAAACACATCGCCTTTTTCGGTCTGCACATAAGCTGTTTGTAAATGGATTTTTGCCCATGCTGTGGATACGTACGAGCTACTATTAAAAATGTAAGTATCGCCCAATAAAAAAAGAAAAATGTAATACATTTTTTTTTCTAAAAATTAAAATAAATACGAACTATTGACTTCAATCTTGTTGACCATGTCCTGGTAATCTTGGGTGACACCATAGTTATCTTGTACAAACGATTTAAACGCACTAATGGGCATTACACCATTTTCATTATTTTTTTCAAAAAAATTGTTCCACTTCTGGAATACATAAAATAATTATGTATAATATCAAATTGCTTATATATATAAGTCAAATCGCCTTATATGCTTTTTTGATGGCTACTATGATAGAGGATACTATGAAAAAATTATTATTATTTTTTTTTTAATTAAAACAATTATTTTTAAATTTCTTCATTGTCGAATTTTTATCAAAAATTCAATATGTCTTAGAATTCTTCAAAATTTATAAAAAACGGTTTAAAAAAATTGTTAACATATGAAAACTATCGACGTACAAAATGAAATGAATTTCAATCCTTAGTTATTACTCTTAATTTGATAAAACAAAATTTATAACTCCTATTGAAAATTGTTTTTAAAAGTAAAAAAAACCTATTATCAATTGAGAACAAAACCACTATAGTAGCGTTGATGTGTAAAAACTAATTATGGTCATTAAAATTAAAAAAGAAAAAATCATTAATATAGGATTTTTTTTACTTTAAAATTAAGATTTATACAACCGAAAAAAATTATAAAAAATTTTACTATAGCGACCTATAAAAATGGTTTTTATAGTCTTAAAAAGTAAAAATATATGTTTTGGAGCCAATGAATATTTTTGCAAGATAAGGACAATAAATATTACATTAAGAACAATAATATTTATTAAAATGAAAAAAAAAAAATTATCATGAATATATTTTGTATATTTAATATATTATAAATGTATTATTAAATATTTTATTATAGGTATCTTATTGTTTGTATTTGTGTATTGTATACTATTAGCTATATTTTTATAAAAATGTATTAAAAAACTAAAATTTACCTCTATTTTATTTTGAGCATCACTGTTTTGAACACAGAAAAATACAACCAATAAAATACACTTGCAATACATGTTGAGAAGTTATACAAGAATTCAAAATGTGAACTTAACCGTAAGAAATATCAAATAATACTCTTCCTCAGCACTAGTCGGTTTTATAATGATTTTTGTTAGTATAAGCTGTACATGGCAAAACAAATCTGTTAAAGCAGCCGTATTTGTGCCACTGTAAACATAATTTTTTAGGTAATTTTTGTGCGTCATTTGGAGGTGTTGTTCTGAACTATTATCGTAGCGCCTAAAATCCAATACTGTGTATTTGATCAGAGGTTCTATAATATTGGCAAAGATATGTTAATTTTGAATGGAATTCTTTTTTGGGACACTTTGTATAATACGGGTGTATCAAAAAGAATGGTGGGGTTTCAAACGGCTGTAGGCTGTGAAGTATTGGACCTATAGTACTCTGGTAGGACTGAAATGAAAGAGGGAGTTGTCAAGTTTCGAATGACCGCCACTAGATGTCTCTGACACTAGATGTTTCATAGTCGTAACTGAATTACGCTTTGCAAACTCAATCACTTCTCTTATGAGAACGCTATCTTAATAAACTAAACAATGAAGGCTGGCGACACAAACGGGAACGTGAAAAGACGTCTAGTGGCAATCATTCGAAACTTGACAACTCCTTTTTTCATTCAAGCCCTACCAGAACGCTGTAGATCCAATACTTCACAACCCACAGTCGTTTGAAATCCCACCATTCTTTATGATACACCCTGTATACTCAAACATTCTTTATGTCATATATGTTATGCGAAATGGTGGTATGTCCTAAAATTGAAGAAAAAACAAACAAATGTTATCACCCTGTAATGAAATGGGGCATTGGTAAAATTAATAGTTGAAGCTTTTTCTGGAAAGGGTAGGAATTTCTTGATGAGAAATCAGTTTAATACCAAAAAAGTTTTCTTTAAAATAACAACCATTAAGAATAGTATACTATATGCTCAGAGTGAAGCATTTTTTTTTTAGGTAAAGAGACATTTTATTGTATTTTGTACTATTTGATGATATTTTATATAATTATTACATTTTTTAGTGTTACTATTACAAGATCAACGTGACCTACATTTTTATGAAGAAAATAAATAACTGTGTTTTTTTACTATTTAAAAATAATAATAAAAAATATGTTTTAGAACGAAAAGTGTTTTGTTTTTAATTATTAAATCTATTGATGTATTTTAGTATTGGTCATACCCGTAAAAAGGCTACGAATATTACTGCCGATTCTAAATAGCTAATAGATTACAATTTTGATATGAAGATTTCTATAAATGTTATACAAATTACATTTTTGTTTTTTGATAGCAAATTTTTAAATACATGCAAGAAGTACATACAAGAAGTTCATGTGATGAAACCTTACATATTGTGGGTATGCGTATGCTTGCTTTTAGTATATTAAAAACAGGTTTTACATTCAATTTAATTGCACTAGTGTAAATTTGGCGATACCAGGTGATCATTTTATCGGGAACCACTCAATATCTCATTGAGTTTAACTGATAGTTACATTTTTTTTTATAGTGGTCTTATATAATGTGATCTCAATTTTCCACAAATTTTTATGTTCCTACCTCCCTCCCTAACTAATAATTTTTGTGTCAACTTTTTAAACTTAAATGGCAACGCATACATTTCGTTAACTTTTTAAATTGAGAATAATGTTCTAAACATTTTGTCTGGTCCATAACCGGTTTTAGATTACTATTTTTCAAGTTCCAATAGTTTAGGACAGGATGAAAGGTGCAGTGTGCTCAATATAAAATGATTACCCTGTATGTATGAAGATACTGGGTGTTATTATCAATACCGAAGTAACTTACAAAGATGAATATCTATTTACATTTTTATGGTTAAGCCATGGTTCTTAAACCTTAGTTATCGACTAACATCCAAGCGTTATTTTTGAGATTGATTTAACAAGATTGGTTATGATAATAATTCTTAAAGAACTATACACCTTCTAGTCCCATTGTTCTGCATCTTGTAATTGGTATTCTTTCTTTATTTTCAATTTATTATATAACTTTATAAATGAATTAACTTTTCATTTTATTATTATTATTTAACCTTGTTTAAACCACTAAAATGATATATTTTTTTTAAAGCACAAAAATGATTTATTTTTGTTAAAATTGATCATTTTAATTTAGTTATAAAGTTGATATAACTATTTCTTATTTCTGAATTCTAGCTGTGCGAGGTGACTCCCTTATACAGACTACTTATACTAAGTATTATTTAAAAATAAATAAAAAACAATATATTTGGTGTTAAATAACCTAATAATTTATCTTAGAGAAAAGTGTACTCGACAATTGGTTTTGTTGTGATTTTGTTATGTATATTGTTCTTATGTCACTATTTAGATTACTACCTATATAGCCGTGTAACAAAAATTGAAACGTTTACCAAACGCTAAATTATACCTGAAAGTCAACCTGTCTAAATGACAGTAGATTTAAAAAAATGTTTTAGCTGAGGAGTACTCAAACATATATTTTTAAAATAAGACACTTCGTTTGATAATTATTATTGAACTCTTTATTTAAACCGATTATTTAACAATGTTTCTGTTACAAATCAAAGGAATGATAATATAATTTTAATACTAAAACACACGGTCGGTACAACAAAATTCTGCCGGGATAAATAAAACAAAATCATTAAAACTAAATGTATGAATCTAATATTTTCTGTGCTATATTTTAATAATAACATACATGGTTATATATTAATTAATTATATCAGCATATCATTCTTTAAATCCCTTTTCTCCATTGTCAAGGACTTGTCGAGGATTTCTGCATGTTGACTATCAGAGTCGGAAGTGTCAATAGTAAGAATTGCTTCTGCATGTTGACTAGGAGGGTCGTAATCACCATTATTCCATGCCAGAGGCTTGTTGAGACTTATTGCTTGTGAACTTCGCCTAGTAGGGTCGTAAGGAGCCAAACCAACTGGACATTGGATAGATTTGTCAACTGTACTAATTGCCCAAATAAATATGTTTTTAATGATACCATTCTTGACTAGAAACAATCATAATACATTATAATCTTATTGATTATATTTTATGAAACAACATTTTTATAATTCAGACCACCAGATTCTAGGAAAAACAAAATTGTGGGTGTTAAAGTAGATTAAAATAATTGATTTCATTTTAAGTGCATAGAAGTGAAACGTCGGTGTTGTTTTTTTATCGTTATGATGATCGACTAATAGTTGATCTAAACACTAACATGATTTTTTTTACAAAGAAACCCAAAGTAAAACAAAACGTAACTAACTAACTACTTTTTAATCTAAATGTACCTAGCTGCATACGTATGAATTAAGATGTACAACTATAAAATTGACTACGAATGTAGTAGATAAAATTATGGCCCCACAGTTTCATAAAATATTTTTTACTTTACACTTAGGTATATATTTTGTAAAAATTAAAATAAAATACGCACAATAGTCTTTATTCTTGATGAATATTTCCTCGTATTCGTTGGTGATCGTATAATAGTGTTTTTGTACAAAATATTCTAACTTCATAAAGGGCATTACACCATTTTCACTATTGTCTTTAAAAAATGTATCCAACTTCTGAAGTACATAAATTATTTGTATATCATAACAAATTGTATTATATTATGGGTCTAAAAAAAAATACATTTTTTTTTCATGGCTGGTGATACTATGAAAAATGATAAAAATTATTATTATTATATTTTTAGTTAAAACATTTTTTTTAGATTTCTACAGTGTCGAATTTTTATCGCAAATTCAATATTTTTTAGAATTTTTCCCTCTTTATAAAAAAAATTATCGTTATGCAAAATTGAAAGAATTCTCTACTTAATTACTCCTAATTTTAATAAAAAAACGAATTGCGAACAAAATCACTATAGTAGTGTTGATATATAAAAACAAATTATGGTCGTAAAAACTTAGGTATCTTATTGTATGAAATTGTGTTTTGTATACTATCAGTTATATTTTTTACTAAGATGTATTACAAAATTAAAATTTACCTCCATTTTAATGTGAGCATCGCCGTTTTTAATACAGAAAAATACAACCAATAAAATAATCTTGAAATACATGTTGAAAACGCCGAAGTTTTAAAAGAATTCAAAATATAAAGTTAGCCGTAAAAGATACCAAATGATATTCAGTCATAGAATTAGTCGGTTTTATAGTGATTTTTGTTAGTATAAGCTCCACACAGCAACATAAAGTATTTGTTAAAGAAGGGTACGCGTGACTATATTCTTACAGATTCAAAATAATCGAATTAAACTTTGTTGTAATTAGTTGTATAGTTTTACATAATAAAATAATAGAAATAAATATCATTTTCGTTGTGTAAACATTTTAACCGTTTGCCATTTGGCCTAGATATATTGCTTAGTTTCATAATAATAAAAATAATACTATTTTTCCCTTGCTCCTACTACATTAATATGTAATTGTATATATTGTACATAATAAAGTTACATAATGTAATATGTACATATAATTCTATATTGTACGCTATCAATTATAATTTGTTAAAAAGATGTATTATACAGTTGAAATTTACCTCCATTGGGTTTGCAGGATCGCCGAATTGAATACTGACAAAAAGTACAACCAATAAAATACATTTGCAATACATGTTGAAAACGCCGAAGTTATGCAAGAATTTTAAATGTGAATTTAACCGTAAGAAATATCAAATGATACTCTGCCTCTGCACTAGTCGGTTTTATGATGATTTTTGTTAGTATAAGCTCTACATGGCCAAAAAAAATATTTGTTTAAGCAGCCGTATTAGTGCCACTGTAAACATATTTTTTTACGTCATTTTTGTACGTCATTTGGAGGTTCTTTTCTGAATTATTATCGTAGCGCCTAAAATCCAATACTGTTTATTTGATCAGGGGTCCTATCATATTGTCAAACATATAATATTAAGGTAACAGGAAGTCAAACTCTTTGCCATATTTTGAATGAGAATGGATGTAATTTTTTATCTTTTGACATTTCAAATACATTTA